TCTGTGGTAAGTTATTGTGCTGTGTGGGTCAAATAGTCTCTCCTCTAGTACCTCCGATGTCACTCTCTGCCTTTTCCCTCCTCGAGAATTTCGTTGGGGAATGATTTAACTAGTTGGAAAGACAAAATGAGGTTTTAGTTGCCTGGAAACTAACACAAAGCGAACCGTCCAGGCCGTAGCAAAGGGCTCCTGGACAATCGTCCAGAAGTGACATAAAATCTTCTCCAATGATATGGTGGATTCCAACAGGATCAACAGCATTCCTGCCCAAAGAAGACAGGTGCCCAATGTAATGGAGAAGCAGTTAGTCGCCGTCATCTTGTCCCAACAGCTTTAGGCTCCGACCCCGTCTGACTGTCGGATAGGGAATCATGTTCTGCTTCCAGATCGAAGTCTCACCCAACCTTAGCACCAAAGTACATGGCATAATGCGTTCAAAATTCAATAATCCTTTTGGGCGAACACATGATATTTTGTTATTTACGTTATGAGCAATTCCACGGGAAGTGATCTGAAGAATTTTCGATGATGTTAGCAATATTAATCATACTTACCGAATTTTTTCCCTTATATACATGGAATAAAAATGTAAAAAAGTTTTTTCAAAATTTTCAAAATTTTTTACCGCTTACTCAAAATTTTGGTCGGTTTTTCAAAAAAGGAACATAACTATTTTCTTTGTTAACCGATTAAGATAATTTTTTTGGAAAATACTCATAATAAGAAGCACTTTAAAGAAAAAAATAAAAAGAAAAAAAAATTTTTTTTTGCCCGAAAAAATTTTAAAAAAATTTTTTGAATCAAAATTTTGAAAAAAATACCTCTTTGATTTGAAATTTTTTTTTTTGTAGTTATTGTCTATAAAGTCAAGAATACTTCCTATAAATTTAATTATGGGACAACAGTAACTTTACGAGAAAAAAAATAAAATGTCCAGCGCGGCATGCCGGGACTCGTGCATGTATTCGCTTATGGCGGCGCAAGTATCGTTCCAAATCACTCTACAAGTCACAATTTGTTGCCAAAACGATTTTTCTTTTTTTCTAAATCTTCGTAATTAAGTTTTTTATTGATCTCTCGAGCCCGGTTTTAAAATTTTGTTTTTAAACATTTTTTTAATAACAATAAATTTTGAAAAAATCATAAAATCGTAAAATATATTTTTTCCAGCTATTAAATTGTTTAAACAATTAATTGTTATTTCTTTCCTAAACTGTACTTAAGGTTAGAAATTTCTAGTTTTTTCTCAATTGTTCAATTTTTCAGGAGTAAAACATCTACATTTGAAAAAAACCAAATTATTTATTTATTACATTGTTTGAACAATTAATTGTTGTTACTTTTTCATAAAATATACTTAGGGTTTGAAAATTCTAGTTTTTTCTCAATTGTTACAATTTTTCATGAGTAAAACATCTACTGATGATAAGAAATAAAAAATTATTTATTATAAAACTGTTTAGCCAATGAATTGTTGCCATTTTTTCATAAATTGCACTTAGGGCTAAAGTTTCTAGTTTTTTCAAAGTACAATTCATTAAAAAATAAAAAACTATAAATTAAATAATAAGTTTCTAGTTTTAAGTTCAGTAAATTGAAAACTTTACAAAAAATAAATTGTTTAAACAATGTTTAAATAATTAATTTTTAGTTTTTCTTTTATTCTTGAATGTTTTAGTTACAAAAAATGCACAATTAAAAAAAACTAGAAGTTTCTAACCCTAAGTACAGTTTAGGAAAGAAATAACAATTAATTGCTTAAACAATTTAATAAATTGGTATACTTTTGTTATACATCAGAAACACTCAAACATTCTTTTAATAGGTTTTTTGATTAATTTTCTGAATGATTGAAGCTGAAAAAAATATATTTTACGATTTTATGATTTTTTTAAAACTTATTGTTATTAAAAAAATGTTTAAAAACAAAATTTTAAAACCGGGCTCGAGAGATCGATAGAAAACTTAATTACGACGATTTAGAAAAAAAGAAAAATCGTTTTGGCAAAAAATTGTGACTTGTAGAGTGATTTGGAACGAAACTTGCGCTGCCATAAGCGAATACATGCACGAGTCCCGGCATGCCGCGCTAGACATTTTATTTTTTTCTCGTAAAGTTATTGTTGTCCCATAATTAAATTTATAGGAAGTATTCTTGACTTTATAGACAATAACTACAAAAAAAAAAAATTTCAAATCGAAGAGGTATTTTTTTCAAAATTTTGATTCAAAAAGTTTTTTTAAAATTTTTTCGGGCAAAAAAAAATTTTTTTTTTCTTTTTATTTTTTTCTTTAAAGTGCTTCTTATTATGAGTATTTTCCAGAAAAAATTATCTTAATCGGTTAACAAAGAAAAAAGTTATGTGCCTTTTTTGAAAAACCGACCAAAATTTTGAGTAAGCGGAAACTCAAAAAATTTTGAAAATTTTGAAAAAACTTTTATACATTTTTATTCCATGTATATGAGGGAACAAATTCAGTAAGTATTATTAATATTGCTAAAATCATCGAAAATTCTTCAGATCACTTCCCGTGGAATTGCTCTTATCCGAGACTACTTTATTTACACTGTAAAAAATTTTGGGAATTAACGGAATCGGTAGTTGGGTTTTTCGAGTTAAAAATCAACTCCAAAAGGGAGTTAATTTCTAACTCCCTTCATTCAACACCCGCGAGAGTTATTTTTGCCTTGGGGAGTTAGCATTTGGGTGTGAAGTATTAACTCTCTTTATTTAACTCCCCTGGCATTAACTCCCCAATGGGTGCGACTTTTATAGAATCCCCTGGGGAGTTAAAATTTAACTCCCTTTTTTTACAGTGTACATTTGGACCATCCAAAGGTAACATTAATAATCTTTCAATTTGCAGTTTTTGTATGGCTGCCATTAAAAAGTCTAATTATTTTAGCAATAGCTGATCCAAGAAAATATATGCGCAAGTGGTAATCATTTACTTGTTGATCATTTTCGGAATAGAAGCGCAGTCGAATTTTAAGCTCCTTTTTACTTTCCGCATTAGTGGTTTCATCATATGATACCTAGTACAAAACCATGATTCTTTTTAATATCTTCTATTAATTTTTCCTCATAGTAGGCTACCAAATCTTCAGTGAGTGAGTATTTACATTTTGTAGGTCCGAGCGAGAATTTTTTTGGATATTTCGGAATTAGGAAACATAGTTTGTCCTAAATCATCACACGAGTTGACAGACATATTGCAATGCACATTTTTAATCACCCATATTATTTCAGCTTTTAATCATGAATCGTGAACAGGTAAAGCTGGTGTTTCTGAAGATTTAGACGTGAAAGTTGTGTGTTTTTAATTGATTAGAGTCAAGTTTGTCTGATGCATTTTTCTTATGTACAACAATTGATAAATGCTGAACAATATCTTGAATGCCTTTGTTCGAGTGTGAAAAACTTTTTTGTCAAATTGTACAAAATGCATTGCTTTCTTTTATCGTGCACTTGATACACCATAATTTAATTTCGTATCCCAAGTTATCCGTCCGCTTCAACCAATGTAATTGAAATTTGTAGGGATTAATTGTATATTACTTAATCACCTAAAGAATATTGTGTTCATTGAATATTTTGAAAACAATTATCTAATAGAAAATTTAGGTCAAAAGGATAACAGACTTGCCGCAAAAATCAAATTTCCAGTTTCTCTGACATTTGAAAAAATCAAATAAAAAAAAAAGTAGATTTTTTTAGCAAAAAGATAAAAATGTAGCCAACTCTAAGAAAGTAGCAAATAGTAGCTTTTAGTTGAAAAATGCGAAGCCTGTTAATGTCAAAGCACGCTGCTTATTCTCTAAAGCTAATACAGTTTTTCTTTTTGGGGAGAGCGAACGCATTTTCTTGATAGGGAATCCATACGCTTCGATATAAGAAGTTAAACGGAACGCTTTTTTATATAATTAACTATATGGGTCCTAAACAGGTCAGGGGTGTACCTTAAACAAAAAGACGATGACAAAATAGATTATTAACGTTCGAAACCGAGAAAACGAAATGTAATATGCATGTTAGTATTAAGTTTGCGACAGGTTGATTGGTCAAAACAGTGTTGTTTACATTTGTGTTCAGTGTTGTGTTTGTGTGTACATGTAGGAATAAGGAAACATTGAGAATTTTTTTTATTTTTCATTTGTCGGACGGATTTTTTGCAACTGTCAATGAAACTTTAAAACACTGTAGAGCAGAAGTACAGGTTCGCAATTTTCCTCGACTGTTGCTAAAAGTTTAGAAGACTTTTTCTAAATTTTCTTCAAATGTATAGTCTATTTCTTCAATAACTGTTAATAATAATTTTTAAAACACTTTCTACTAAATCCGAGAGTCTTCTACAAAGTCGAAGAAAATTCCAGTGACTAATTTTTTCCGTGCAGCTGATGGTAGACCTAAACAGCAATTAATAATTAACAACTGTTTAACTTAAACAGACGAACTTTTAACTAAGTTAAGCCTTTAAATGCAACATTGTAAGAAACTACTGCTAAATTCATAAAAGTAATTACCCAGGTGAAAGTAATTGATAAAGTTAATTCAACAACTTAAAAAGCAGCTGGAAAATCCATAATTCAATTTATCAATTTTGAAAAAATAATTAACCCAGGAAGATTGAGTAATTTTATTTTTACTAAACAAATTAAAAAGAATTTTAATAATTTATATGTATTGGAAGTCTATTATTAGAGCGAACAACCTACGAAAAAACTGAACAATCTTTCAGAGCTGCTGTCAATCAGACTTGAAACTACTGATCCATTAAATCTGACTTCAAACTACTGATAATAATTTTTCAAAAATGAAACTAATAAAAAACCTACAAGAGAAGAGATGAATTTATGAAAGAAATGAAAAAGGAAACTGATCAGTCGATAAAGCAACTAATCAGTCCAAATATGGTATTCCTGTCCAAGAGTCCTGACAATTTCTCCTTGAGAACGTTTTGATTCGCGAGTCATAATCGTATTGTGTTTTGGTTGACAGAGTCCTCAAAGTGACAGCAGTAGTAGTTCTCGATCAGCTGAGTCACCGATGTCAGTTCAGGTCGATCCTATGGCGGCATCAGTGGTAGCAGCAGCTCTTGGCACGTATCCAACATTACTGCCACAATGGTGTCTACCACCAAGAGAGGCACCTCACATCAACATGCAAGCACATCAGGATAATACGTCAGGAGTCGATCAGCCTCTCGATCTCTCGGCCAAGCCCAAAAGTTCTCAGGTAAGTCCCATTCCCACCAACCCCTCCCTCTTTTTGCAATAATTCTTAAGCACAAAAAATAATAATAATGATTAAAACATAACATCGAGATCAACAGTTATACCTGCCAAGGTTAATCAAATTCTCGATATCCACCTCGATTTAAAACATCAATTTATTCCGGAAATTTTATCTTGAATTTCGGCAGAAAATCTGAGACCGAGAATTACTTTCTTGGATTTAGAAATTTCATCATCATTGAAATTAGTAAATTCTATTTGAATTATTTTCTATTTTCTTTTAATTCTTGGAGTTATCAATTATTTTGTATTTTATTAATTCATTTCTTCAGTTAATGTAAATTATCTGTACTTTACATTACTTTTTATATGTGAATAGTGAAGTAATATTTCCATTTTTGACTAATATTGTTGCTCTTTAAATTTACAATGCTTTAACATAATTCGAAATTTTTTTTAAAATTTGGAAATATTAGATCTTTATTTTCGTTATTAATTAATAGATTTATGATTTTAGACTTTCAAGGAAGTCAACATTGTGTTCATGTGTTCTCAAGTTTTTACGTTTGTCCTATAGAAGAATCATCGTCGTTTTCAGGAGAACAATTTATCTTTGTTGGAACAAAAAATACCTCTACGAATGCCAGCGGGTCTTGATCCCAAAACGTTATTCAAGTAAGTAAAATTCTACTTTAATAAAAAAATTAAATTTTCAGATAATTTCTAGACACGTCAAAGATTGTTATAGCTTAGAAAAAAATTTATAGCAAAAATTAGTCATTTGATCGACAGAAATTCTGTAAATTTCAAATTAATTTTTTCCCCTCAAATATTGTTATTATTGTTTTAACTGGGTATAATGTTACCAAGAGAATATTCAAAATACAGAATATCTTCTCACAGGTACAGCTAAAATTTACACCATGTTTGGTATAAAATTTTACCTTATATTCGGGAGAAAATTCAAAGCTTATCCTGTGAATGACTGTATTACGTTGATTTTATAAATTTCTAAAAATATTTTGGAAATATTGGAACGGGAGTCCCTCAGGGATCAGGGCTTGGTCCTTTATTATTTAACCTTTTTACGAATGATTTAAGGGACGTTCTAAAATACTCTAAACATGTGTACTTCGTGGATGATTTACAAATTTATATTCACTCTAGTTTAGATAATTTAAAAGATAATCTTGTCTTAATAAATAAAGATGTGAAGTCAATATTAAATTGGGCATCAACAAATTTTCTTAAAGCAAATACTGATAAGACTTATTCTATGATAATTGGATGAACACAAATAATATCAAATTGGATGATAACTCGTTGATTAAGATTAATGATATTACTATACCTTTTGTTGATTCAGTTAAGAATTTGGGTGTTATCCCTGCCAGAGTTGGATTTACTATATGTAAACTTTTAAAGTGGACAAATGGTAGACATATAGTAGACTTACGGTAAAAGTGGAAATAAACTATTTAGAAGGTGTTTGATAGCAAAAGGAAGTGTTAAATATGTAAAATGGATGTTTAGAGAATAGATTTTAGCAAATATTGCAATAAATAAATCTCTAAATAATTAATAATTACTTGAAATTCCTGACAGATTCGATAAACATAAATGTATAGGTGGTTAGACTTTAAATAGTAGAAAAAAGTTCATCAAAAAAACTAAAAATGTTAGAAAAAGCTCTTATAATTAATAAATTAACTATTCTACAGTCGATTTATCCATTATTTAAGTTGAATTAAATCGTAAATTGTTAAATTATTAATGATAAATATGCGAACTGTGAGACCTGTCAATGTATTGGTAACATGCGTGATACTTGTAGCAGACTACGATTCACTACGATCATATTCTGAACGGCGGAATGAAAGGAACTGATTTGGATAAACGCGCGAAGTTTCAAAATGATGTGTAAATATAGTAAACGTTGAAAAAAATTGCTTTCTTTGACTTAAGAGATATGACTAATAAAACATATCTTTTACCTTTAGAAAACGTTTTTTACTACAATGTGATCAAAAAATAGAAATTTAGCAAAACTTTTTCGATTAATAAAATAAATATATTTATTTAAATAAATATTATTCGAAGCTAACAATCAGTATTTTACTTAGAAAAATAAATTTGAATAAAAATTTTTTAAACAATTTCATGTAAAAAAAATAACCTCAACAATTAATTTTGATTGAAAATCAATTATTATTATATTTAGTAGAATACAAAAAATAACTCCTCCTACTTTAAGAAAGCAATTTTTTTATTCGTTGGTTCAACAGTACAAAAAGGGAGAAAATATTTAATTTTTAAAAAGTTACATTTAGTCTTAACTCATTAAGAAAAAAAAGATTTCTGGCCAATAAAAATAAGCTCCTCCTATTTTCAAAGTGCAATTTTTTATTTGTTGGTTGAGTTAAAGAAAATGGAGAAAGTAATTAATATTTGAAAAATAACACATATATTATCAACCCCCAAAGAAAAAATGGATGATTTAGACCAATAAAAATAATAAACTAACTCCTCCCATTTTCAAAATCAATTTTTCTATTTGTTGGTTAAGTTAAAGAAAATGGAGAAAAAATTAATATTTAAAAAATAAATCATATAATTCCAACCCCCAAAAAGAAAAATGGATGATTTAGACCAATTAAAATAAAATTTAAACTCCTCCTTCTTAAAGAAAAATATTTTTTATTTGTGGCTTCAATAGAACAAAATGGAGAAATATATTATAATAATATAATATATATAATATATTATATAATTAATATTTAAAAAATATGAAATTTAGTCCCAACCCCCAAAAGATAAAATGGATGTTTAAGACCAATTAAATTAAAATTTAAACTCCTCCCTTTTGATAAAAACTATTTTTCATTCGTAGGTTAAAAAAAAAAGAAATGGAGAAAATATTAAACTTTAAAAATATAAGTCTCAACCCCTCACGAAAAAAACTGCTATTAGCCAATAAAAAAATCAAACTCCTCCTAAATTTTTATTTCGTTCTTTTGAACCCACGAATGAAAAATAGTTTTTATTAAAAGGGAGGAGTTTAAATTTTAATTTAATTGGTCTTAAACATTCATTTTATCTTTTGGGGGTTGGGACTAAATTTTATATTTTTTAAATATTAATATTTTCTCCATTTTGTTTTATTGAAGCCACAAATAAAAAATATTTTTCATTAAGAAGGAGGAGTTTAAATTTTATTTTAATTGGTTTAAATCATCCATTTTTATTTTTGGGAGTTGGAATTATATGTTTTATTTCTTAAATAATAAATTTGTCTCCATTTTGTTTAACTGAACCAATGAATAAAAAATTAGGAGGAGTTTGATTTTTTTGAATATGAGACAAGTCACACCCAGAAAGTCTCCCCCGGACAAGTCTCCACAGAGTCATAACTCCCCATGGGACAAGTCTTCCCATGGACAGCTCCTCCCAGAGGACATCTCTCCCCAAATGTAAATATTAAAAGTAAATAATGTCATGTGTGGACAAGTCTCCCCGGGACATCTCTCCCCAGTGAAAAATTGTTTATTAAAACAGTGACAAATTAAGGACAAGTCTCTCCGGGACATCTCTCCCCAGTAAAAATTATTTTTTTAAACGGTGGCACATTCAGGACAAGTCTCCCCAGGACAAGTCTCCCTGGGACATCACTCCCCAGTTAAGAAATGTTTATTAAAACAGTGGCAAATTCAGGACAAGTCTCCCCAGGACATCTGTCCCCAGTAAAAATTATTTATTTATATGGTATCACATTCAGGACAAGTCTCCCCAGGACAAGTCTCCCCGAGACATCTCTTTCCAGTAAAAATTATGTATTTAAATGGTGGCTCATTCAGGACAAATCTCCCCAGGACAAGTCTCCCCGGGACATCTCTCCACAGTAAAAATTATTTATTTAAACTGTGGCACATTCAGGACAAGTCTCCCCAGGACAAGTCTCCCTGAAACATCACTCCCCAGTTAAGAAATGTTTATTAAAACAGTGGCAAATTCAGGACAAGTCTCCTCGGGACATCTCTTCCTAGTAAAAATTACTTATTAAAACGGTGGCACATTCAGGATTAAGGGGGAAGTCTACTGTGACAAGGGAAAGAATAGGCCGATGTTTGCGGATTTTTTTTTCTAGCAAAATACGACTTCGATATTAAATTAAATTAAACCGTCCTATATTATATGTGACTGTCCACGAGAAAACAAGGCTTAGGTCCAAAAAATCAATTTTGATTTTTTTATGGTAATCGACAGATTTTATGTTGCTTTTTCAAATGCAAAAGTCAAAAGTTAAAAATATCAATTACTTTCGAAAATATATTGTTTTAAAGATGGGTATGTTAAGCGTATAGTTAACCTCAATCGTTGACTGTCCACGATAAAACACGGCTTAGGTCGAAAAAATCAATTTGAGTTTTTTATGGTAATCGACAGATTTTATGTTGCTTTTTCAAATGCAAAAGTCAGAAGTTAAAAATATCAATTACTTTCGACAATATATCGTTTTAAAGATGGGTATGTCAAGCGTAGTTAACTTCAATCGTAGTACTTCAATCGCTCGCCCTGTGAAATTCACGTTTGGGAGCTAAGCCTTGTTTTCTCGTGGACAGTCACATATATTCAAGTATTTGTAAAAATCTCGTGTCACAAAAATCATCGTAAACAAATTGGCTGCCTTTATTCCCTTGTTACGTACGATATTTTTTATTCCTAATGCACAAAAGTGGCGAATTCAGATAGCAGACGACAGGGAGTAAAAGTCATTCACTTGTTCGACTTATATGAAAATTCCTTGTAAAAAAAAGAATTGGGTGGTCCGGGATTTCGAATTGGGATGTCGTTTCTTGAATTAGAAAAAAAGACTTTTTCGAATTGGACTGATTTCTGAATTCAGAAATGTATGGTTCCGCGATCAACCCAATTCGACAGATATTTTAAAGATGAAAATAAAGAGTTTAACACTTCACTGGACATTGAACAGTAGTTAATTGAGACGGTGCACGTTATTCACGTAGGTGAATACATTTCTTTAAGCAATAATGTTAATTTTCAATAAAATAGAGAGAATTAAAAATTTGATGTGGTCTTTGTTTACAATAGAAAAAGTTTTCTACTTTTAGGGTTATTAAAACAGCTTACTTACCGACAGCTGAGAAGTATTATGATAACAAATCAAATGATGATTTCTATACGAAAGTATCATTTACGTCGGTAATTGAATATTAATAAATTAATTTTAAATTTTTAAACGGATTAAAAATTTTTTATTAAGAATATTTAAAAAAAATTTACAATAATTACTGTAATTAATATTTTTTTCAAAATATAATTATATGTTTGTTATAAAAATAATAATTTTAAAACAATTTATTTGAATCAACAAAAAAATAATTTCTTTTCTTGATTTTCATAATTAAAACGTTTTTAAATTATTTATTCTTCAATTTTATAAATTAGGATTAAATTACACGGAAAGAAAAGGTCTGGAAGAGATATCCATAAAAATATTGTTGAGCAGAATATTGTTGTGTTATCCAATTCAATGGAAGAGACAACTTTCAGAATGGAAGCACATTCCATATTCAATGTATGAGGGAGCCATATTATATTGTTGAATCAAATATGGATGTGACATCCATAGGCATGGTTGGGCTTACAATTCATGC